CTTGGGACGCGCCACCATCCCCTGCCGCCCGCCTCATCTCCTCTCTCCCTCCCTCCCCCCCCTCCCCCCCCCCCACCCCCAATCCGTCCCGCATGCATGCTCCTAGTCGTCCGTCTCCTGTTCCTCCTCCTCCTCCTCCTCCTCCTCCTCCTTCGCCTTCTCCTCCTCCTCCTCCTCCTCGTCCTCTCCGTCCTCCTCCTCCACATCCTCCTCTTCCTCCTCCTCCTCCTCCTCCTCCTAGGCCCGAACGCGGCGCCCCCCAGAGTAGCGACGAGGCGGGGCGTGTGCCCGTTCTGGCCACAGCAGACTCCATATACTGTACCAGTGTTCGGTGCCAGCGAGTTGGCCGCCGAGAGTGGCTGACCGCGCCTGCCGAGATTTCTGGATTTCGGCGGAAGAAGACTCACCCTGCTGGGCATCGTCGTCAGCGGGAGGCGCGAGCTCAGGCCCGCGTCATTGCCAGGTTGTCTGGATATTCCGTTATCAAAGCAAGACGGCTATCAAAGCAAGACGGCTACTAAACCAGCTAGTCGTGGTTTTGTGCGTCGTGTGCTCCTTCGAACTTCTTGGAGAGACAGGCGTGCAGAGATTGTGGTGTCACGAGGACAGAGTACGGATCAGCACCTGTTGCAGGCACATTCGAGCGCCAGCCGTGAGTCAAAAACAAGACCTGCCCTCTCTCAAAAGGCCCACGGGGAAGAGAAAGGACACGTGCTGGAAAGGGAGCAGATCAGAGTACTTTGACACCTACAGATACAGAGGAGAGGCAGACATCTGCAAGGCGCCCACAGCGTACAAGATCACCTTCGGTTTCTTCTGCAGACGAGGAGGAGGACGGTTCCAGGGACGAAAGTCAGAGGCCATTGAGTATCATCCCTGCTCTTCCTTCAGAGGCTCGACTGCAGTAACACTTCCCAGGGGAGTTGGATTATACTGCGACGGCCAAAGGTTGCAGTGTTTTCATCACGGAATGCAGGCAGCAGTTGAGTGCTTGCAGGTACCATCAGGCTCAAAAAAAAAAACCAGGAGAAATGGCCTGCAAGGAACGCACTTGGCACTCTGTTGTCCTGACGGCCATCCACCTTTGTCGCCCGCTCAAATACCAGTTGTCCAGACAAGAGTCTGCTCTTCAAAGATCAAAGTCGAGGCTTCAGGACATAGACAATAAGATCGAACGGGCAAAACAGTACATGAGCGAATTGCAGGACAAAAGGGATTTTGCTGTGGAATGGGTCCAAAGACACTACGAGGCCATGAACGAACGACGCATCAGCCCATTGGCCATGGACGCAGAAGTTACAGGAACAGATACACCTCCAGGCGACGCTGCCCCAGCGACGACCATGGCACCTCTTCCTGCCGGACCCCGGCCTCAGTTGTCACAACAACATGCGGAGCATCCGAAGCAGCAGCAATTGTCCGACATGGCCATCATGCAAAGAGATTGCGACGACCTTGACAGCATATCAGTCTCGTATAGATGCGAGTGTCAATGCCATCGGCGCGCAGGCCATAGCGGTCAACAGCAAGCACGAGGCTCTGATGTCGGCCCTGCGCGGGGGTGCGTCGCATGCGTAGCCGGCAGCGAGGGCGAGGGCGGCAGAAGGCGACGCTGGTCCTCCTCCTCCTCCTCCTCCTCCTCCTCCTCCTCCTCCTCCCTCCTCCTCCCTCCTCCTCCTCCTCCTCCTCCTCCTCCTCCTCCAACAGCAGCAACAGCGCAGCCACGACAGGCACGGCCACACCCTGTGGCGACGCCGAGACGAAGTGGAGCTCACGGGTCACGCGACGCACATCAAGGGAGGCGCCGTCCGACACGCAGTCGTTCCCCTCGCCGGAGGACCAGCACATGGCCCGACGGCGGCTGGGGACACAACGGACGAGGTGGCAAGGACTCCCCCTGCTGGTGTCGACGACGTAGACGACTTGGTGCTGCGCGAGGGCTGCGAGCCTCTGGCGTAGCATCAGGCATGGACATGATCGGCCACGGCCCCTCCGATCATGCGCATCATGAGCAGTTTCCAAAGGTCACGTCAAGATACGTTGATAATCCAGATACCGTGTTTTCGCTACTCCGTCCAAGAAATGAGATACTCAACACTGAGTGGCGGAGAAAAAAAACGCTCCCTTTTGGATTGTTCAAGGGACTTCTTCGAGTCCTTATCCGAGTGGGACGGTGATTTATCAGACATCGTACGTGCATAGTTTTTTACTGATGGAAGTGGGGGCTCTGCTCCCACTGAGGTGAAACTATCCTGGGCCCTCTGTGTCCTCATTGTTTCTGGAGATGGGCAATATCATTATTTCGTCGATCATACAGGGTTTTTGTTTACGTGATGATTCTGTGTTTCGCCCTCGCAGCTGAGCTTGGTGTCGGAGACCCTCGCTCTCTGGTGGGCGATGTCGTGGGCGCTGCAGGCTCCATTCACAGATGCGCAGTTGCATTTCTACCTTGATAACGTTGTGGTCACGAACGCAGCTCATGGTGTATGGAACATACCACCTTTGGCAGGTATGTCATCATGCGTGCGTTATGTAGTTCACGTGTTCCTGTACAAGCACGTTGCTGCATTCGAACATGGTCATGCACATGCGCAGCGCCCTGTCAATGAGTACGTGGACACACTTGCAGCACTTGTGGGCATGGGCATACCAGAGAATACGGTTGCTTGTCCAGGGCACCCTTTTTCGAACAAGACCCACTATCGGCACCGCGGGCATGGATGCCGCTAATGTCGAGGCGTGGACGGCTACAATATTCGATGATAAGGGACGGCGACAATCATCGCTGGCCCGAGCCTCCCTGATGTTTATCCACCCATGCGAAGATGCGTAGGACACGTTCCAGATTCGTTCGCGCTTGAGCCGGCAGGGGCCAGATGCTCCCTATCGGCTAGAGAGAAATTAAGCTAGCTGTTGTCAATGTGCCCACGCTATTGCAACCTAAGAAGACCAAGTGTCTTGGCAAGCAATTGGGCAGCACTAGGCAAAAGCAGGGTCCCAGGTTGGTTGGAGCAGATTTGGCTGGTCGCCCCAGGCTTCTAGCTGAGCAGTTTCGGCATTATGATTTTATGGTGGTGGGCACGGCGGGGACTCGCATGCCGAATCCTGGTTGGCGTCATGTGGGGCCTTTCTTGTACTTCATGCTCCGCGACATGAGAGTGGGAGCCACGAATGCTCTGTATAGCTTCGGCCACATAAAGAACTCATCCCGTGCAGAAATGACTCTAGCATATCCTTGGACAAGCTTAACGTCGATGCTGCTACCCCGACCTTGGTCGTTAACCTTGCGCTCGCTTCAGAAGTACTACAGATTGCGTGGCACATGTACAACAGGTAAGGCAAAGTGTTACTGACATACTCGCATGGTGGAAAGCAACGACTGCTACCCTGAGAAGAGCGGCTGGCCAGGCCGACTATTCGTTTTTGCTCATGGACGCTAACGCCACTGTGGGCTCGACTGTTTCAGAGTGGATTGGAAGTGTGGGTGCTGAGACTGAATCGTTTTGTGGGGCCCGCTTACGTGACATGCTCAGGAAGCTGGACATGCGTTTACCGTGCACTTTCCTGGGGCAAGCGGTAGAGCATAATTACGCTACCCGCTAATGGCTGGGATGATGACAGCTGAAGTGAAGCATATAAGAATGATGTTGGTGGCCGTTGCCCCGCCGATACCGTTGGTGACGCGAGTCAAGAGGAGAGGTGGAGAGGAGAAGCGCCGCGCCAGCCACACTTTGCGAGCCCGAAACTGATAGCGACCGCACCCCCAAGGCGACCCCTGCGGCGTCGAGGAAGTGCAACGCCTGCCACACCAGCGCACCCCCTGCGGCGTCGAGGAAGTGTCACACTTGCCACGCTTTGCGGGCCCGAAACGGATAGCGACAGCACCCCTAGCGCACTCCCTTCGGCGTCGAGAAGTTGCCGCGCCTTCCACGCTCTGCGAGACCGAAACGGATAGCGACCGTACCCCCAACGCACCCCCTGTGGCGTCGAGAAAATTCAGCGCCTGCCACGCTCTGCGAGGCCGAAACGGATAGCGGCCGTACCCCCAGCGCACCCCCTGTGACATCGAGAAAATACAGCGCCTGCCACGCGTTGCACGCCCGAACCGGACAGCGACCGTACCCCCAGCGCACCCCCCGTGTGGCGTCGAGGAAGTGTCACGCCTGCCACGCTGTGCGAGGCCGAAATGGATAGCGACCGTACCCCCAACGCACCCCCTGTGGCGTCGAGAAAATTCAGCGCCTGCCACGCTCTGCGAGGCCGAAACGGATAGCGACCGCACCCCCAGCGCACCCTCTGTGTGATCGAGAAAGTGCCACGCCTGCCACACGTTGCGAGCCCGAAACGGATATCGATCGTACCCCCAGCGCACCCCCTATGGTGCCCAGAAAGTGCCACGCCTGCTAGGCTTTGCGACAGTGTCGTGGATAGCGGCCGTGCTGAGAGACCACCCCCTGCGCACCCCCTATGGTGTCCAGAAAGTGCCACGCCCGCTAGGCTTTGCGACAGGGTCGTGGATAGCGGCCGCGCTGAGAGACCACACCCTGCGCACCTGCTATAGTGCCCAGGGAGTACCACGCCTGCTAGGCTTCGCGGCAGCGTCGTGGATAGCGGCCGCGCTGAGAGACCACCCCCTGCGCACCCCCTTATGATGTCCAGAAAATGCCACGCCTGATAAGCTTTGCGACAGTGTCGTGGATAGCGGCCGCGCTGAGAGACCGCCCCCTGCGCACCCCCTTATGGTGTCCAGAAAATGCCACGCCTGCTAGGCTTTGCGACAGTGTCGTGGACAGCGGTCGCGCTGAGAGACCGCCCCCTGCGCACCCTCTACGGTGTCCAGAAAGTGCCACGCCTGCTAGGCTTTGCGACAGCGTCGTGGATAGCGGCCGCGCTGAGAGACCACCCCCTGCGCACCCCCTATGGTGCCCAGAAAGTGCCACGCCTGCTAGGATTTGCGACAGCGTCGTGGATAGCGGCCGCGCTGAGAGACCACCCCCTGC